TGGACCCAAACCGATCCATTTGCATTTTACTTGGACTACATTGGAATTGCTTTGTATGGATTAGAACAGGATTTGATTCAATCCATATATAAATGAACCAATATTGGATTGGACCGAATTGGACCAAATCCAGTCCAATTGACAAACCTTAGTGTTGCTTTCAACTCTTCAAGGACTATGATGGAGCTATGGCAACGGGGATTTGATATCAGGTTTCTGCTACAATCAATCAAAGAATCTACCCTTTGAGCCACCCTCAGTTGGTGCATGATCAATTGGAGCTGTTGGGTTGAAGCTTTCTGCCTGCCATGTGATTTGAGGGCTAAATATTAATTATCAGTTATTACAAGACCCATCTTCAAATATTTCAGCCAGAAAAAAAAAGTTTCCATCCATATTATTGAAAACCATGGTTTTTGAACCATCGTTTGACAATGACCCGACTTGTCAATCCATTGATCAATTCAACCTAGACAACAGTTTTGACCATTTTTTATTTTAATTTTTTTTTTAAATTGTAATGGGCCATCCATTCAGACTGGATGGTTGAATCACTGATTCGAAAACTGGTGGCCAAAACAATTCTGAGTCAGGTCAGTTTTTAAAACATTGGTTGAAACAAAAAAGGTCAAAACAATACAATCTCATCTTTTACCTATTTCCACATTCCATAGTACACGACTTTGGTGCTCGAAGACTTGTTGCATGGATTTTTGCATAGGCGTATTCAAATAATCAAATTTGGCCATCAAATCAAACCAAATAAACTAATTTGGTTCAGCTCATTTAGTTTTTTGTTCGGTTTGATTTGAATTTTTTAAAAATTCATTTTCAATCTCAGTTCGAGTCGGCAAATGTTTTACCAAATCGAATCGAAACCGAATTATAAATATTAATATATAAAATATAGTAATTATAGTTTATAAATGTTAATGCTAATATAACTCCTTTTATGTTTGTCCTTTCTTAAAGTAAGGGTATAATGGTAAAACCATTTGGCCCTAAATACCCTAACCAAATTTTAATTCCCCTTTGACCCTTCCCTTTCTCATATTTCCTTTTGGGGTTGGATTGTATTTTTAATTATTTGTTTTAGGCTTATAATTCAAGAGAAAATGAATGTAGGTTTATGTGCTGAGCTTGAATGTAGGTTAATATATATACAAAGCCCCCTACAGTCAGACATGTGTCAAATTCTGATTAGTGGTAGTTCAAGAAAAAAGCCCACTAACATGGAAAGTGGAGCCTACCATCATGTAGAGTTGTGAGAAGTGGGAAGATCCCACTTTCAATCCTTTCCTAAAAAAAAAGAAACTGTGTTATTAATTAATGCTAACTACTAAACTAAATAATTAATTTCAGCTATTGATTACTAATAATAATTAATGTTAATTAATTAATTGCAACTATTAATCTATAATAATAATTATTGTTAATTACTAATTAATTACTGTTAACTACTTCTAATTAATTAATTCCAGCTATTAATTACTAAGAATAATTATTCACTGATAATAATTAATTACTGAAAATTATTTCTTATAATAATTAATGCTAATACTTAATTACTGATAATTTATTACTCACAATATTGCTCATTATTAATTCGAAATGATGATTAATTAATGATAATTAATAAATATTTTCATAATGGTAATTAATAATTCGACAATAATCATTTCATATTTATATTAACTCATATTAATTATTTTGAAAATAAATATTTAATGTTAATTATTTATATTATAATTATTATCAGAAATTAAAAGTGATACATTTATATGAAATAATTAATTATATTATTATAAGTAAATATAATTAATAATATTGTATTAGTTAATATAATTATATTATTATTATTATTATCAATAATTATAATAAATTATTACTAATACTAATGATGATAATTATTATTTTGGAATGTTAATTAATTAATGATAATTAATGAGTATTTTAATAATGTTAATTATTAATTGGGATATAATCATTTTATATTAATATTAATTAATACTAATTATTTTACTAAAAATTGTATTTATAACAAATTAATTACTTAATGGAAATAAAAATAATAAAATAATAATAATAATAGTAATAATAATACTTTAATATTACTGATTTCAAAATCAATACACACATAATAAGAATATATTATTAGTTAATAATAATAATAATTTACTTATAATTATTACTGAATTCATAATTACTAATATATTATTAATCTATTAATAATACTGTATTATTAAAAAAATGTTAATAGGAAAATTTAATTACTTAAAATTATTTTCTGAAATTACCCATTTTAATTCGGATAGATAATTAATTAATAATTTTAATTTCTTAGAATTATTATTTACTGAATAATTTTAAATACTCTTTGATTAACGACCTTATTTTTGAATAATTGGTTTTTTATGTTCAATAATGTCTTTTGCAAAAATCCAAATAATTTTTCATTTGTAATGCTAACCATTTTATTTTTCTCTTATTCGGTTTTTCAAAAGATAAAAAATAAATGAATGTTATTCACCTATTTTTATCAAATTATGTATGTATCAAGTTGTTGTCATTGATGATGATGATGAGTCAACTTTTTGAAAGAGAGGAGTACTAATAATAATTATTGACTTCTAATTAATTAATTTTAGCTATTAATTACTAATAATAATAACTCACTGATATTAATTAATTGTTGATAATAATTTCTTATAATAATTACAGCTAATACTTAATTACTGATAATATTTCTCATTATTAATTCAGAATGATAATTAATAACAATTTTCATAATGGTAATTAATAATTCGAAAATAATAATTTTATATTTATATTAACTCATATTAATTATTTTGAAAATAAATATTTAATGTTAATTATTTATATTAGAATTATTATCAGAATTTATAATTCATACATTTATATGAAATAATTAATTATATTATTATTATCAGTAATTATAATTAATACTTATATTACTAAATATAATTATACATTTATATTATTATTATCAATAACTATAATTAATTATTACTATTAATAATGATTCTTGATAAAATTTAATTACCGATTATAATTACTTACTGATAATTAATTCCTTAATTATAACAATGATAATTATTACTTCGTAATGTTAATTAATTAATGATAATTAATAAGTATTTTAATAATGTTAATTATTAACCAGGATAAAATCATTTTATAATTATATTAGTTTATATTGATTATTTTATAAATATATAATTAGTGCTACTTATTTACATTATTGTTATCATTTGGTTAAAGTTAAATTATAAACTTTCAATTATCCATTATTGTTAAACTAAAAGAAATAAAAAATCAATTATTATTTTAGGAATTAACTAAAAATCATATTTATAACAAATTAATTATTTCATAATAATAATAATAATAATAATAATAATAATAATAATAATTTAATATTACTGATTTCAAAATCAATACACACATAATAAGAATATATTATTAGTAAAAAATAGTAATAATAATATACTTATCATTATTATTGATTTCACAATTATTAATATATTAGTAATCTATATTAACTCAATAAAGACATGGAATAAAAAAATGTTCAAATTGCTACTAAATGAATGAATTAAAAATCTATGAGTATTCTAATTGACTTGAATTTGCACATCAACATGCCCAAAATTATAATTTCAACCTACATTTCCTATTTCTATCTCCCAATTCCCATAATTCAAACATACCATTATGTTATGTGCATGTTTCTCTACTTTTTCCCTAAAGATAAATTTTAGCTAGTCTACGTGCACTATGGGGAGCTTAGACTTAAAATCCGTAATCATGATCGACCAAAAGAAGCATTGCCACCTAACTTGGAGGTGACTTCCATACTTAGGATGGTCCCATTATTCTCCTTTATTTTATGTTTCCTCTGTTGGATGTGCTTTGGAATCCTAATCAAATTATCAGTTGATTGTAGCCATACATGATGATTTGATTGTAGTCATATATTTTTCATCCCTTACTTCAGAGGATGGATGCATCTACAAATGTTGTTTGGCATGGATTATTTTTCTTAGCAGCTCTTTGAATGATTTTCTTCCTTCTTTGCCTCTTTGAATGAATATCATTTAAATGCTTTTTATCTGTTCATATGTCCCTAAATATTAAGCAATATTGGTGATATTGTTGTAAACATCCATCTAATTTTATTATTTTATAAATAGATTAATGATTTCCAAGTTATTGATACTTTTTTGGGGGTGGGTTGCTCAACAGGACATTGATTTTTTATTGTTAAATAGTAAATTTCAAATTAAATGATA